ACAGAGGGGGGGGGGGGCTAGCGAAAAGTATCCCACCCTCGATTACTATTTTACGTCGAGTAAAATAGTAAGTGAATCAGGATTCACAAATTCATATCATAATATAGTACGCAAAGAATTTCAAATTGAAGATCAGACGAGAATTCGACGTAGCTGGTATTGAGAAGAAACGAAATTGTCGCTTCTTAATATAGTGGTAGCAAACCTAACTGATTTAGTAAATCGGGAGTCACAAATTGCATACCATAATATAGTACACAAAACATCTCTATTGAGGAGTGGACGGGATTAGAGAGAACGGATCAGGGAAGAAACGAAATTGCCGCTTCTTAATATAGTAGTAGGTGACAAACCTAACAGATTCGGATCGTGGAAGCAAATTCGTAATGAATCAAATACCTGGTACTTCGTCGCCAATACTTCATCCCTTACAGGAGATACTGGTGCACCGAGTCCACGAGGACATGCCAGTTGAGCAAGCCGAAAGCTGTTGGTCGAGGACCAAAAAAACCTGCATTCATATAAAAACGTGGGCAAGGAATCTTTTACTTGCTTGGAACATTGGGCAATTATTTTGGGCCTGTTATGAGATCGTTTCATCGATGATCTGAACTGGGCCCTTACCACCACTAGTAGAGTGGGGTCTGATTCGGGAAATTAAAAAAATTTCTAAGTCGCGCTGGAAAATATTTTCGGAAAATTCCCCTCCTCCAATTTACCCCGGACCGATGTGATTCTCTTACACTATGGAAGATCGGAAAACTGTACAGACCGAATTTTGATATGTCTTTTCGTTTTCGAGAAAATTCGACTTTAACCTAAGTCACATACATATCTAATGTGTATATACGAGTTTTCGTGCTCGCTTGAATAAACGGGAGTCTTGACTTTTACTATTGACAGGATGTATATCTGATGGTAAAAACACATCTATGACACATACCCATCTTATGTGTATACGCGGTTTTGTTGCTTACATTGTTTTCAGATTGTGCAAAATATTCGGATTTTTGGACTTGTAAAAATTTTTCGGGATCGATAGACCATATCTTACAGTATGGGTCTGGTATCGGAGACTGTAGAGTAGGGTCTGATTCGGGAAATTAAAAAATTGTCTAAGTCCCGCGCTGGAAAATATTTTCGGAAAATTCCCCTCCTCCAATTTACCCCGGACCGATGTGATTCTTTTACACTATCGAAGTTCGGAAAACTGTACAGATCGAATTTTGATACAACTTTTCGTTTTCGAGAAAATCAACTTTTACCTAAGTCGCATGGGTATCCTATGTGTATGTAAGAGTTTTATGCTTGCTTGAAAACATGGGATGTTTGACTTTTACTATTGACAGGTTGTATGCCTAATGTTAAAAACGCATAACTAATTTACGTGTGTACACGGTTTTGTTCCGTACGTTGTTGTCAAATGTTGTAAAAAATGCGGAATTTCGGACTTGTAAAAATTTGGTAACAATAGACCATCACCTCGGGCATGGATCTGGTATCAGAGACTCGAGTGTAAGGTCTGATTCCGGAAATTAAAAAATTCGGAATTTCGGACTTGTAAAAATTTCAGCATCAATAGACCATCATCTCCTATATGGGTCTGGTATCGGAGACTGGAGTGTAAGGTCTGATTCTGGATTTTTAAAAAAAAAAAAAAAAATCGGAATTTCGGACTTGGAAAAATTTCAGCATCAATAGACCATCACCTCCTATATGGGTCTGGTATCGGAGACTGGAGAGTAGGGTCTGATTCGGGAAATTAAAAAAATTTCGGAAAATTATACCCTCCTCCGATCTGCCCCGGACCGCTGCAATTCTTTTACACTATCGAAGATCGGAAAACTATTTTTTTTTTTTTTATTTATGAACAAAACTACAGAGTATTAATTGTTTTTACATTAGGAAAACTATACAGACCGAATTTTGATACGACTTTTTCCAAAACACAAGGTCCGATACACATCTCCAAGCGCACACCACCGCCACGCCACTACAAATAATTGAAATTCCCGAATCAGACCCTACTCTCCGGTACCCGATACCAGACACATCCTGGAGGAGACGGTCTATCGATGCCGAAAATTTTACAAGTCCGAAATCTCGAAAACAAAAAGTCGTATCAAAATTTGGTCCGTACAGTTTTCCGATCTTCCATAGTGTAAAAGAATCACATCGGTACGAGGCGGATCGGAGGAGGGGAATTTTCCGAAAATATTTTCCAGCACGCGAATTTCCCGAATCGGACCCTACTCTCCAGTCTCCAATACCGACCCATCCTATAGGAGATGGTCTATTCATCCCGAAAGTTTACAAGTCCAAAAATCCGAATTTTTTACACACTCTGCCAACAATGCACGGAATAAAACCACGTATACATATAAGATAGCTATGTTTCATAGATGTGTTTTTACCATCAGATATACATCCTGTCAATAGTAAAAGTCAAGACTCCCGTTTATTCAAGCAAGCACGAAAACTCGTATATGCACATTAGATACGTATGCGACTTAGGTTAAAGTCGAATTTTCTCGAAAACGAAAAGACGTATCAAAATTCGGTCTGTACAGTTTTCCGATCTTCCATAGTGTAAAAGAATCACATCGGTCCGAGGCGGATTGGAGGAGGGGAATTTTCCGAAAATATTTTCCAGCACGCGAATTTCCCGAATCAGACCCTACATCTTTAATGATTGTATGCAATGCGTATATCTGTAAAACCGGTTAAAATAAGGGAACCAAAACTGACCGGCAACCAGAAACGTACGGTGGAACACTACCGTGCCAAGGAGAAAAGCCGCATGAGCCTTTCGGCATTGCCGAATTTCCTTTGATAAATCCCAAATTTTTGGGAATATTTATAAACATTTTTCTTACGATTTTTTGGAGAATTTCGTTCGTAATTTTATCCAAATAGTGTAAAAATTTCAAGGAAAAGGAAAGATAATTTTCCTCAAAAGTACACATTTTATCATAGGAAATTTGGCAACTCTCAAATGTGCATACGGCGGTTTTCCTTAGCACGGCGGAACAGTGTAGATTAGCGAGTAACTGCGATCGCTTCAGATGATTCTTGGACGAAGAGTGACGACGCACTAAAAACGCCTTCATTGGGAAACGATACTTCCTAGCGCGGCTTCAGAGGCCGAATAGTTGTATCATTTAAAAACCCAACCAACATTGTAGCGTAGACTGCGTAGATCAGCGCGAGTAAGTGCGATTGCTCCAGATAAACCCATCTGACAAGGTGCGAATGGAAGCATTGATCCATACATATTTTTTAATCAATAAATATTACGTGAAACACTATTTGTGCAATGATAATTACCTATAAAGTAAAGCAGTGTTGCGAAGTAGTTATTCGGGAAAGAGAAAAAAATTCGGATGTGTTCCAAGACTGCCGAAAGAATTCGGTTCTTTTGGGAGGTCCTCTTGCCCTGGTTTTTGAAAGTTGTCAGTAGTTGAATTTAAAGGAATCAAGGTGGGTATAGAAGAGTTCTTTATTTTTACTACGGACAGGATCAAATCGACGTGCAGTGGCTGAACCGAGTTTGAAGTTGTCATATTTTCATGGCGCAGAGACTGTCACAATAAAGTTCAATCAATTGTTGTTTTTTCAATGAGTGCGAAGTTTGCATTTATGCATCGAAAAACTTTATGAAAATTTACTTTCAATAGGTAATTATCATCGCACAAATAATGTTTTACATAATATTTATCGATTAAAAAACATGTATGGATCAATGCTTCCATTCGCACCTTGTCAGATGGGTTTATCTGGAGCAATCGCACTTACTCGCGCTGATCTACGCAGTCTACGCTACAATGTTGGTTGGGTTTTTAAATGATACAACTATTCGGCCTCTGAAGCCGCGCTAGGAAGTATCGTTTCCCAATGAAGGCGTTTTTAGTGCGTCGTCACTCTCCGTTCAAGAATCATCCGAAGCGATCGCAGTTACTGGCTAATCTAGCACTGTTCCGCCGTGCTAAGGAAAAACGCCGTATGTACATTTGAGAGTTGCCAAATGATAAAATGTTTACTTTTGAGGAAAATTATCAATCCTTTCCCTTGAAATTTTCACACTATTTGGATCGAATTACGAATGAAGTTCTCCAAAAAATTTTAAGAAAAATGTTTATAAATATTCCCAAAAATTCGTGATTTACCGAAGGAAATTCGGCAACGCCGAAAGGCTCATACGGCGGTTTTCCTTAGCACGGCGGAAGTAGCTTGCAACCCTGACTCTCCCTATAGATGATCCAAGATTTCCTAAGGAAAAGGGCTGTTTAAGGGACGACTATCCTGCCGTTTTAAGGAAAAGTGCCGTATGAATCTTCAGGAGTTGGCAAATTTCCCTTGGTAAATCACAAACTTTCGGGGAAATTTGTAAATATTTTCCCTCGAACTTTTCTGATAACTATGTGCATTTTGACGTGAGCCCTGTTATGCATATATTCTTATGGGTCTCAGGGCTCATACCTTAATGCAGATAGTTCCGTTTGATAGGAATACGTCCAATTAAGCAGAAGCAGAAGCTAATACTCTTGAATGTTCATACGGCGTCCTTCCTTAGCGCGGCAGTTTACTACCTTGCTAAGGAAGAACGCCGCATGAACACTCGAGAGTTGCCAAATTGTCTCCGATAAAATGTTAATTTATGAGAAAAATTATGAATATTTTTCCTTAAAATTTTCAGGAACTTTAGATCGGAACAAAAACAATATTCTCTGAAAAATTGGAAAAAAAATATTGATAAATTTACCAGGGAATCGGTGTTTTATCGAAGGAAATTTGGCAACGCTTGAATGTTCATACGGCGTCCTTCCTTAGCACGGCAGCATACGGCGCAGTATGACGACGGCCCTTACTTACCGAGTGTTTCCACAGGTGGACCAAACGTTGTCGATAATCTCGAACGTGGGAGGCGGCGCCCTCCTGGCAACGTGCTTCATCCACATGATCCCGGAGATCCGCGAGTGTCTGGAGGACCTGCCGTCGATCACGCTCGTGCAGAAGGACCTGGCCTACGCCGAGCTCCTCGTCTGCGTCGGCTTCTTCCTCGCCTACTTCCTCGAGGAGACCGTCCACTACGTCCTCGCCAACCGCGGGAGCGCCACCCTCCCCCGCCAGCTCGCCAGCGACTCCCCCGTCCAGTGGGCCGTCAAGACCAACACCTGGTTCGAGCGCATGGACCACGACTCCAACCCTGACGCCGCCCTCCGCAAGTCTCAGGTAGGTCCTGAACCCGAGGTGCTCGACATACTCTGCGGGCCGATTATTAAAATTGATAGACAAAGCTATAGACAAAGAAGACATAGGGAGTATGGAACGATCCTATTAGTTGAAATGGGTGGTTGATCGTCAAGACCAACGCCTGGTTCGAGCGCATGGACCACGACTCCAACCCTGACGCCGCCCTCCGCAAATCTCAGGTAGGTCCTGAACCCGACGGTTGAGCACAGGGGAGAATGGAGATGTTGCATGTGTGAGGAATTTGCGAGTTGACTGTTCATTCTTGTGTAAAAGTTTGTGAGAAACACGATGGGGCCACTGCTTTTCTCTGAAATTGACTTCCAAGCTCAAAAAAAGCCCTCAAGTTGAGGCCAAAATGGAGGGGATATCCCACGCTATCCGGAGAGTCCACCTCTACTTCAAGACAAACTCTCCATGCGAAGATAGGGAGCAAATACATTAGCAGTGATGCCGTGTTTTCAGTTTTAGAGTCCCCAAATAAGGTGGCAGCCCTGTCAATGTATTAGCTCCCTATCTTTGCATGGAGAGTTTGTTTTGATGTAGAGGTGGACTCTCAGGGTAGGGTGGGATATCCCCTCCATTCTGGCCTCACTTCGAGAGCTTTTTTTGACCTTAGGAGATGATTTCAGAGAAAACCAATGGCACCATCGTGTTTCTCGCAAACTTTTACATAAGAATCAATGGTCAAATCGCAAATCCCTCACACATGCAACATCTCCATTGGACGTATTTCTATCAAACGGAACTAAGCGCCATCAGGGGAGGAAGGGAGAGGGGGGCTTGGATTGGCGGGTGTTGCAAGACGCGATGCTCGTTCCGTCCTATACTCGCAATGCTTTTCCATGGCGCTTACTTCCGTTTGACATAACGCGCTATCGGGCATTCTAAAATCCTCAAAAGGAACTCAGTATGGCGCTCAGTTCCGTTTGACAGAAATACGTCCAATTTCATGAGCTGCCGCCCACCCGCGGCGCACTATGATTCAAAACTCAAGAATAGGAAGAAGTAAGTCGGATAATGGTGGAAAGATCACGAAAGTTTCGTAACAGATGTTTTTTGAGTCACTAATTTCGAATTTGGTAAATTTCCTGCACTTTAACACCCTGACTATAAATTCCACAATTACAAACACCATATTTTTCGATTATCATGGCACGATGCGGCGCGGCGCGGCGTGCTGCCAACTCGGAACGCGCAAAGGCGCCTACAAACCTAAGGGGATACTTCAAGCATTGCGCAATGCGTGAGGCAGCCCGTTCGGTTTGTAGGCGTCAGTGCGCGTTTCGCGCTGGCAGCACGCCGCGCCGCGGCTCACCCGGCGCCCCCGGCGGGCGGGTGGTGACCGATTTCTTACGAGGAGACCTCCCTGGCGGCAAACTCGTAAATCGTTAATTTTTTTTTTTTTTTTTTAAATTACACACTGGTCGTGTGAAGTAATTAGTGAGCTCTCAACTGTAGATAAAGTGTAATAATGAAAGGCGGGTCGTGCGCTTTGCGCGCTGCGGACGGCGCAGGGCGGCTCATGAAAATCTCCCTTGTGCTCTGACGTAAACCCGAGGTCCTNGGTCCTGAACCCGAGGTTCTCAATATACTCTGCGGGCCGATTATTAAAATTGATAGACAAAGCTATAGACAAAGAAGACATAGGGAGTATGGAACGATCCTATTAGTTGAAATGGGAGGTTGATCGTCAAGACCAACACCTGGTTCGAGCGCATGGACCGCGACTCCAACCCTGACGCCGCCCTCCGCAAATCTCAGGTAGGTCCTAAACCCGACGGTTGAGCACAGGGGAGAATGGAGATGTTGCATGTGTGAGGAATTTGCGAGTTGACTGTTCATTCTTGTGTGAAAGTTCGCGAGAAACACGATGGTGCCACTGGTTTTCTCTGAAATTGACTCCCAAGCTCAAAAAAAGCTCTCAAGTTGAGGCCAAAATGGAGGGGATATCCCACGCTATCCGGAGAGTCCACGTCTACATCAAGACAAACTCTCCATGCGAAGATATGGAGCAAATACATTAGCAGTGATGCCGTGTTTTCAGTTTTGGAGTCCCCAGATAAAGTGGCAACCCTGCTAATGTATTTGCTCCCTATCATTGCATGGAGAGTTTGTTTTGATGTAGAGGTGGACTCTCAGGGTAGGGTGGGATATCCCCTCCATTTCGGTCTCAACTTGAGAGCTTTTTTTGAGCTTGGGAGTTGAATTCAGAGAAAATCAGTGGGACCATCGTGTTTCTCGCGAACTTTTACACAAGAATCAACAGTCAAATCGCAAATTCCTCACACATGCAACATCTCAATTTCATGAGCTGCCGCCCACCTGCGGCGCACTATGATTCAAAACTCTAGCATAAGAAGAAATAAGTCGGATAATGGCGGAATAAAGATCACGAAAGTTTCGTAATAGATGTTTATTGAGTCGCTAATTTCGAATTTGATGTCAAATTGCCTACATTTTAACACCCTGACCTATAAATTCCACCATTACAAACACGATATATTTCCATTATCGTGGCACGCTGCGGCGCGGCGTGCTGCCAACTCGGAACGCGCAAAGGCGCCTACAAACCTAAGGGGATACTTCAAGCATTGCGCAATGCGTGAGGCAGCCCGTTCGGTTTGTAGGCGTCAGTGCGCGTTTCGCGCTGGCAGCACGCCGCGCCGCGGCTCACCCGGCGCCCCCGGCGGGCGGGTGGTGACCGATTTCTTACGAGGAGACCTCCCTGGCGGCAAACTCGTAAATCGTTAATTTTTTTTTTTTTTTTTTAAATTACACACTGGTCGTGTGAAGTAATTAGTGAGCTCTCAACTGTAGATAAAGTGTAATAATGAAAGGCGGGTCGTGCGCTTTGCGCGCTGCGGACGGCGCAGGGCGGCTCATGAAAATCTCCCTTGTGCTCTGACGTAAACCCGAGGTCCTCACCATACCCTGCCGGCCGATTATTAAAATTGACAGACAGAGCGATAGACAAAGAAGACGTAGGGAGTATGGAACGATCCTCTTGGTTGAAATGAGTGGTTCCCATAGACTAAGGAAGAAAATGATGTACTAACTATAGGGTCTCTCGTAGTTTGCCGTTAGTTAGTCTATACCCACCTCATTTGTCCATTGCAGCCACCTGCTTCAACCAATAGGATCCCTCCATATTCCTTACGTTTTCTTTGTCTATAGCTTTGACTATTAATCTCAATAATCGGCCCACTGGCACAACTTTCGTGAAACTGCGAAAAAAGCGTATTTATCTCGTTTGCGGTTTTCCAATTCTTTATACAGAGAGGACAATTCAGGGAAGTTTCCAAGGAATGACGTCGAGTATTTTTCCACCTGAAAAATTAATTATGACAAGAAGTCTTCTGCATCACAACCGAGGTAGGCGTTTTTGCAGTTTAACGTTTAGTGAATTCTCTCGTTAATCGCTTCACTGAGAGACCGAATTGCGTGATACAACTATTTTAACTTCTAAGTAAGTCAAATTGCATAGCCATTGAATTGAAGGAGTTTTTACTTTCTTATCTTTCCTTGCATTCGTTAAGACTCGGTAGCGGTTCAGTATCAAGTGTTCCTATATACTTATTGTTAGTAAGCTTTTGCAAACGTTCAAGTCTTGTTTTATCCATCGGTACACCGGCAAAAAATTCGAATGAATATATTGTCTGTAGCATGAGGGACCTAAGTGCCGGTAACTCAAAATCGAGGTTATGTTTTAGGGCAAATAGTGGATTCACAAACCAACAAAAATTTTCAAATCGAACATACAAATAATTGAAGACGGTTTGAGATTTTGGAGTTTTCATAATCATGCAAAGTTTTGATCATCCATTTTCGAAGCTTAAAATTGTTGATTAAAAATCTAATTTACCTATTGGCACTAAAATGAACCAAACCGCTCACAATCAATTGTTTTCAACAGGGCCGGATTTACCTACTTGCCACCCATGGGCCGCCTATATTTTGCCGCCCCCTTCTCATTCGTTTTGAAACACCAATAAAAACCATCAAGTGAACGTGCCGGAGGGAGAGGGGTGCATAAGACGAGTTTACCTACTCGTGTTGGATACATTTTTGGCGAAAGCCCTGTCAACACTACCAGCAAAATTTCACGGAACTTTGCGCGAAAGTTAAGTTCCGTAAACCTATCTCTGTGTGGACAAGGTCCTCCATTTATAAGAAATGAACCAAAAAGTTATGAAAGAACAAACATAAATATGGTTTAATAATGTTAACTTCCGCCACTGCGCCGCGCTGATCACACTGTGTTTGGCGCAATGCTTGAAGTATTCCGGCAATCTTGTAGGCTCTACGCGTTTCACGCCAACCGCTCTTGACCGAACTGTGTTTGGCGCAATGGGTAAAGCATTCATGCTACATACCGACCGCCGCGCCGAGGGGTTGTCCTTTTCATCTTAGGTCCTCGTCATCTTTCCTCTTTGCGCTAAGCTCCAGGCCAAATTGCGTGTTTGATCCTCTCTTAACTCGACTACTTGAAGATGCTGTGTCTCTTGTATCACCGAAAAATAACAAAATTAGAAACTACTATACTCTCAGGAAAGGGAGATTTTGTCCCCTTTTCTCATTGATAATATTTTTTTTCTGAATCCCATTTTTTTATACCTACATTTCAAAAAATTGCAAAATTTGCCGCCATGGGCCGCGGTCCATGTGGCCACCGCCACCCCCTTAATCCGGCCCTGGTTTTAAATTCTACAGAGAATGTTGTCAATTGAAAACGCTAATTCTAATTCATCGACTCAACAATTAAAACTCTCTCCTGAAATATCTTCTCCCGGGCTTAAGGTCCCTTTTTCCATTTTTTATAGACAATCGCACTTTCTCAAAATTCGTCCCCCCTCGGGGAAATCCGGAGGAGCAATGTAACTTACTGCTATCATGCCTGAAACTCCGTAATTTTTTACACACTAACGGCCCTCTCATATGTCTCGTTTGTCTACAATTAAGATTAATTTTGCTGTTTCAGCTATCTCAGTGATTTCATTTGAAAAAGATTAGACGAATTTGGAAGGAAACTCGATTTCGAAAATTTGACTCTTACTGCTTTCTTCTCTATCACGGCAGACATGTCCACGTCAAACCGGCTCACGAGTGGCTCAGTGGAGCGAGTCTTTGGAAGATGTGGGACATGAAATTTTTCACAGAAATTGTAAAATATTACGTTTATCTCGTGACAATTTCAATTTTTAGGGGTGCTTTTTCGAGAAAATTTTACGAGAAAACCAATTAAACTTCTTTTAAAACATCATCATTTCAAATTACTATGAATATATATGCTTTTAAAGTTTTTAAATCATGCCCAACCTCTCTCACTCGATCCATTGTGCGGCTGCACAATATCGTTCCAACCTCCATTATTACACCCATCTCTTCTTCTTTCTGATCTATTGAAAGTGTGCGATAGGCCCTTTCGATGAATGTTTCACAATGAAAGTGTATGATAGACCCTTCCGATGAATTTTTCTCATCCCTTCTTCTTTCTGATCCAATGAAAGTGTATGATAAAGCCTAGAGTACCTATATTGAAAGAGTATGGCCACTGGGGTTACCACCTCTGATTGGCTCAGCCATCTTAGGCTGAATGGAGCCCGTAGGACCCAAAAATGGCGGACGCCATAAATTAATCTAATGCAAAATGACTCAAAATGTAGTTTTCTTTGCTTATCGTAACGAGAAATTTACTCAAATGCACTATTGCGACTTCTTTACATATTTTTAAGGCTAATCGTGTGCAATTTTTGAGAAAAATTTTCTTAAATGTAGTAAGATTGGCAGCAAGTGCGGTTGGTGATAACCGGCGAAAGTTGACAATGACCCCCCTCCCATCCACAAAAACCAAAACAAAGCACCGCCACTTTTGGGTCCTAAGCCTCTCCATGGGGCCCAGTGGCCATACTCTCTCAATATAGGTGCTCTAGCCAGCTCAGGCCAGCTGATAATCGAGATGTCTTAACTCTGGGTATAAAGGGACTCTGCTTCCGATAAATGTTTAACATCCCTTCTTCTTACATACATATCAAGCCGCTAACTCAGCGCACTAGAGCGCTCTGCGACTCCAAATCGCCATCGGAATCGATCCTCCCACAAATCATCGGGCAGATTACACCGTCTGATCTCCCCCTCCACTCCCTCCCGCCAACCTTTTACTGGACGTCCACGCCGCCTTCTTCCGTGAGGAACCCAATCAAATACCTTTCCGGGCAACCGACTATCTGCCATTCTCCGCACGTGTCCATACCAAACCAGCTGCCTGGTTTTGATATCGTGCACAATATCTTCCTCAACTCCCATTATCTCACGCACTCGTTCATTACGAACGCGCTCTCTCCCCGAGATCCCTGCAGACCTTCGCCCTTCTTCTTTCTGATCTAATAAAAATGTATGAATGATCCTTTCGATGAATGTTTCAGGGCCAGCTGGATCGTGAACGGGATGCGGAGAGCGAAGCGGACGCGTGTTCGCGGTGCCTCTCGGCGGGGGCGGGGGAGGGCGGGGGCCTGCACGTGTCGGAGCAGCTGCGGCTGTCGCGGGGGCAGCGGAAGAAGTCGGTGCTGGTCGTCTTGGCGCTGTCCTTCCACTCGGTCTTCGAGGGGATGGCCATCGGTCTGGAGCGGAACCTGGACGACGCCCGCTACCTCTTCGCCGCGGTCGCCCTCCACGAGTCCACCATGCTCTTCTGCATCGGCCTCGAGATGGTCGCCTCCCAGGCCGCCCCCACGCCCACCGCCACCATCGTCCTCAACCTCGCCGCCCTTGCACTCGTCTCGCCTCTCGGCAAGTATCCACCACAGTCAACATTATAATGAACCACTAGACAAGGTACGAATTTAAGCAATCTGATACATGTTTCTTAACCAGAATTTCACGTAAAACACGATTAGCGCAACGAAAATTACCGAAATCAACTCCTTACGAAGATATTTAATGATTCTTAATGCGTGAATTCAAACCACCCGCTCATGAAAACTCAATGCTCTACGCGATTCACATCGCGCGCTAAACGTTATCATGACAGTCTCTGCGATGTAAAAATCTGGCAACCTCAATCTTGACGCTTTGGCTCAGTTATAGCAAATTGCTAATAGTTTGAACAACACATGATGGGAAATGAACATTGCTCGATTGAGAAGCTTGCTGAAACCGTTGTAGTGGGCGATTTGACTCACGTAGAGTTTTGAGTTTCTTGTGAGCGGGCAGTTCAAATTCCTCGTAACCAATGTGAAATAAAAACGTTAATATCTTCGTTAGGAGTTGGTTTCCGTAATTTTCGTTGTGTGAATCGTTTTCTACGTGAAATTCTGGTTAAGAAACATGTATCAGATCGCTTAAATTCGTACCTTGTCTAGTGGTCCATTGGACGTATTTCTATCTAACAGACCTATGTGCAGGTGAGAAATATGGGGTATGCTCGCTTGTTATCTGGCCATAAGAGTGAATGAAAATAATAAAGCGCCAGTGACGTCAACGGCAATGATGGAGTATCCGTGCGAGACGGAGATCATCGTTGGGGCGCTTTAACTCATGAGCCCTATCCACAACGCTCTCGTCCCATCCTCGCGGCTCATGAATCCTGCATTCTGTTGGCACATAGGTCTCTTTGATAGAATGTAATACCCCGCTTTTCCAATTCTTCAAAAGGAATCATGCCCTCTTTTACATTGTTTCTTATGCAGAATTCTAAAGCACACCCCATATTTCTCACCTGCTCACAGTTCTGTTTGATAGAAATACGTCCAATTGAATCAGTGAGTTCGAAAACACATCAACTTGGGGGAAAAAAATTGCTCAGGAAACAACTAAAACTCCGCAGCGGGCGAAAAAGTTAGTTCAAGAAAAACCTTTTTGGTGCCAAAGGACAAGTACTTAAAGACTTTGTAAAGCACCAAGTTGAAATCGATACACCATGTTTGATGACAGAGAAATAAGCGTTTAAAAATTTCCGGGTTGGTGTGTTTTCGTTCTCACCGACTTTCAGATACTGATTTTTCATAGTCTGCCCTGAAAAATGTATATTTTTTGACCTGGATAACGCTTGAATATTTATATAACTTGTTGGCACAAAGTATACCTACTGAACCGAAAAAAGAAAACCGCAAAATTGGATGGTCACCCGTTTCCCTCGAAATGGCCAAAAATTGGTATTTCCAATGAAATACTTCGATTTTTCCCTTTTCCCATCGCTGTTTCGAGCACTTCCGATTGCAATTTCGAAATTTCCTTTTTCGTGCAGATGCTTCTATCCATAAGTGTTACTAAACCGTATATAGAAAAGTGAAAATCGAAAAACCCCGAGTTGGTGTGTTTTCGAATTCACTGATTCAATTAGGGTTCCCGTCAGGGACCACATGAAAACCGCCAAATGTCAGGGAATTTTTAAAAGCAAGGGGAAACCTGGGTCCCTGCGTCCTGGAGATATTGGATGCAATGGAGAATTTGCACACCAAAATTTTATTGCTTCATCTGAGAGTGCCTAATGAGCCGAGTTCGAAGTACTTTTCATACTTTTTTTCTGACATGGAAAATTGGAGAAAAATAGATTCAAAAGTGAGAAAATGTGGCCGCCTTATGACGTTATTATCTGGTGGCATTTTCCATTTAAACACATGTATTTTAGCAGACTAGGTTATTTTGTCATATTTTCTCCAATAATTGTCCAATTTAAATACCAAAGATATCCTAGTGCTTAGTTTTCCTAACAGTATCATCTTAAAGATGAAATTTACAAAATGTAAGACACCTGCAAATTCTCCATTGTGCACGATATCATGACCAAGCATTTGGGATGGGATTGCAACGTACTCTAACGTTAGTATGGTAGGTAATGGTCGTGAAAGTACAACACGAAATTTATGTAATGTCAAACTATAATAAAACAAGAAAAGCCGACCCATTGGATTTTTCCGTGGCGTGGCGTGAATTGCGATGTATCGATTGTTATGCCATTTAAACCTATGGAAAAGGATCGATAAACAGGGTGTTCGCAGCGAACACCTTAATAATCGATTCTTTACCATAGGTTTAAATGGCATAACAATCGATATATCGCAATTCACGCCACGCCACTGAACAGTTCCTCGAAGCAACGCGGCACGCCCGCGCTGCGCCGCGCCGTGGCACGCCACGACGTTTGGCCGGCCAGCGAGTAACGCACACTGGCCCCTTCAAACCTAAGGGGATACTTCAAGCATTGCGCACTGCGTGAAGTATCCCCTTAGGTTTGTAGGGGCCAGTGCGCGCTTCGCACAGGTAGCACGCGGCGCAGCGCGGGCGTGCCGCGTTGCTTCGAGGAACTGTTCAGTGGCGTGGCGTGAATTGCGATATATCGATTGTTATGCCATTTAAACCTATGNTCTTTACATATTTTTAAGGCTAATCGTGTGCAATTTTTGAGAAAAATTATCTTAGATGTAGTAAGGTTGGCAGCAAGTGCGGTTGGTGATAACCGTCAAAAGTTGGCAATGACCCCCCACCCATCCACAAAAACCAAAACAAAGCACCGCCACTTTTGGGTCCTAAGCCTCTCCATGGGGCCCAGTAACCATACTCTCTCAATATAGGTGCTCTAGCCAGCTCAGGCCAGCTGATAATCGAGATGTCTTAACTCTGGGTATAAAAGGACTCTACTTCCGATAAATGTTTAACACCCTTCTTCTTGCATACATATCAAGCCGCTAACTCAGCGCACTAGAGCGCTCGGCGACTCCAAATCGCCATCGGAATCGATCCTCCCACAAATCATCGGGCAGATTACACCGTCTGATCTCCCCCTCCACTCCCTCCCGCCAACCTTTTACTGGACGTCCACGCCGCCTTCTTCCGGGAGGAACCCAATCAAATACCTCTCTGGGCAACCTACTATCTGCCATTCTCCGCACGTGTCCATACCAAACCAGCTGCCTGGTTTTGATATCGTGCACAATGTCTTTCTCAACTCCCATTATCTCACGCACTCGTTCATTACGAACGCGCTCTCTCTGCGAGATCCCTGCAGACCTTCGCCCTTCTTCTTTCTGATCTAATAAAAATCCCACCTATAATAGTTACCCGACCTATGTCAGCAATTCTTTCGTTCACGATAACTATCGTTAGATTTACGTTAGCTTCTTCAAATTTTGCAATTTTGTCCATTTTGGTCTTATGAAGAACTGTATAAATTTACGGTTAAATCGCATTTACCGTTTACTTATAAACGGTAATTAACGTAAGTGCCCTACTTACGCTGTTTTCCACTAAACTGTTTTTATGAAAGTTCCATTCCTTGGTTTCCTTGGTAACCTTTGTTTGCTATCAGCTGATGTTTTATTTCAACTTATTT